CAGGAATGGTCACAATGTGACCAACACAACCGGTTCAAAGGACCTCAAAGTGGGCCCTTGATGCCAATGTCGCACACTTTTGGCTAGCTCCATTGAACAGAGCTTGAGTAACTGCTCGAGTTAAAACATAACCAGGGCTTTAAAAGATAAGACACTGCTTGAGTCTAAGCAAACAAAGACCTTACACTGAAACCATACCAGTAAGTTTTGGTATGAAGCACGCCTGTTTGAGGCCAAAGCCTCCACTAAAGAATGCTGTGGGTGTCTCCAAGCAAACCCTACAAAAAATGACACCGATGCCAGGCCAACAGCTCTTACTGCTGCTCAGTTGGGTCCCCTGTCCCCCTGCCCATGTGTAGGCTCATTTTATGTAGTCTAGGAGTAGTTAACCTGCTCTTAAAATCACAATAAAACAACTTGCTCCTTTTCTACAGTGAAAACCACCTTATCTTCCTCTGATTTCTTGAGCTTTACAAATTAATGGCAACACTTTGCAGTAAACGAATATAATGAATTTTCTCCAGGTAGAGATCCAAGTTCACGTAGCTGTTTTTTCACTAAAATCCACGCTCCTGTAGCCATTTATTCATTATTTCTGCCTCTGTGATGACCCTCTTAGTCCCGTTTCTGGGGAGGCCACCAAAAGGAATTCTAAGAAGAGCTTATGCACCACCTCTTCCTTCGAAAGAGCTGAACCACGCAACAGCAGCTGCTTACCCTGACGGTCGGCGTGTCCCATATGGCCAACCCAAAGTAGTCTTCTTCCAGGAGATTGAGGTGGTCACAGACTTTTTTAAGCAGATCCTGCCCCTTGGCGTGTTTCTGCAAAGAGACAGAAGGAATTCGGTGGGACGGGCTGGTTTTTGCATGGGAGAGGGGAAAAAGGGAACATAATCAGAGCACACTGGACGCTGCCATGGAGGGGAAAAAGCCCCGAGCAGCTCAAAACCAGATGTCCTGGATGTTTCTGAGCAATCACCTCATACAGGAGAGAGAATGAGGCTTAAAAATTCAAACTGGAGAGGCTTTGGAACCACACTGGGTCTCTACTACCATCAACTCTGTATCTGAAGCGCCCCCAAGGCTGGGCCTCTCAACACCACTCCATAAACACCGAGGGTTTCTATGGTTCTTCACTCCTGAAGCCAATCTGCTGCTCCAACCCACTGCTACAGACCCCCATTTTGGGGGCAACCCAGCTTAGCAAGGTCACAAAACAGCGGCTCAGAGCCAAAACCCATCATTCCCGCTGCCTTTTCTCCAACCTGATCTGCTGATGAAACCCAGCCTCTCCAGCATTGCTTTATGCACCGAAAGCTGCTTAGCACACAACTTCTTGCCTCCAGAAATACACTTTAAGCATTCCTATCTCCTCTTTTTTATTATCTTTTTTTTTCTTTTTCAAATCCTGCAGAAGTGAACCGGCCCCAGGAACAGATACCCTTTTAGTCCAAAAGCATGAAGGAAAACACCCCTGAGGCACAGAGCTACGGTAACCAGCAGCAGCTAATGCTGTTGGAGGCTTTGCTAACAAGAAAGTGCAGTTGCAGTGACGCAAAATCAGCTTTACTAATGCATCGCCTGTGCCTGCACCTCTCCTTTCAGTCGTATTTGCGTGGCTACTGACTCAAGACCACAGCTTTGTTTTCTTCCTTCAGCTGTAAGGTCCTTAGTGCACACGTTGTGACTCTATAGGGAACGCAGGAACACGTATAGGAACATAGTGCATGGGCTAGCCTGGGTATTTCTCAAAGATTTGGCAATTAAAAGACATACAGGAATTAAAATCCTTCCATGGTTGCCAATTGGAAAGGATGCCTGAAAGCACAGATTCTTCTTGGATAAAGGGATTTGTGCTGGTGTCTGTCTGCATCTTTGCATTCCCCTCCCAATTAAATCTTAATAAATTATCAGAGTGCTAGAGTGGGATGATATTGGCATTAAAGCCAACCGAGGGGGTCTCGCTGACACCGCAGCCCCTCCTCATCCTCTGGGCAGGGCCCACCGTGACCCTCAGGACCCACAACAAGAGACATCCACCGCCCTGCTCAAGCCAGGACCAACCACGCCACCACCAGTGACCACCCAGTCTGATGGCATCTGACGGCATCGCTGCAGCAAATCACGCACACCACCAGCGTTTTGGGGTGCAGTTTCCTTTCGGGGGCTGCACACAAGATCCCCAGCAAAGGGGAAGGCGATGATGAGGGCGGTGATGCTCGGAGCTGATCCCCTGCAATAGCAGCAGCGACGTGGTGACAGAAACGGTTGGCGCTGACCCACTTGTCCAGGATCACCCAAGGTGATTTCACCAGGAGCAGTTTGCCCACATACCCTCTCCTGGGCCATTTAGCTGGGGAAAAACAAGCTCGAATGGTTAAGTACTGGATTATTAATATTCCAGACAAGTGTTTCAATACTGAAATGAGGATTTCTTGTAGCTCTTCATTGCCCTGACAGCAAGACAGCCCTGCGAGAGAATGCACAAAATACAGCAGAAGAAAAGCTCTCGGATGAAGGGGTTTGCAGGGCTGTAAGTCAACATAATGATTTTAAATTGTTTACTGCAAATATATCCAACTGTAGACTAAACACTGCGTGGTTTTCTTGACATCCAAGCCCAGGAGTTATGTCAGCCAGCGGCCCCATAGGTGAAGGCACCTTCACCTACACAAATGAACCTGACAACCTGTTTTATTCAAAGAAAAGGGGCAGAAGATACTGAGAAAATCCCGACCTAACACAAAATCCTAAACTCCAGTCTGGAGTATAAGTGAGAGAAATGAACAGCAAGTAAGACAACCTTCTCATGTTTTTCTAACCTAAAAAGATCCCTAAACATCCAGAGATCTTTACAACACACTGGGTAAGTTGTTACAGCTCACAGCAATACTGCCCTGCAGTAAAGCCTGTCACCTAACTCACTGGCACCGAGTCATGCCCCTATTAAATTGTGTTTATGAGGATTTTTCAAGGGGAACAGAAGGGAGAGGGAAAAGAGTCGAAGCAGAAGCAAACCCCAAAAGTACTCACATCCACGGAGCACTCAAAAACGGTGTCATCCAGCAAGACGACTTTGCAGTACATGTTCCTGTGTCTTTTCACCGCTCTCTGGGCAGCTCTCAAATCCTTCTCTGCTTTGGCCTCCGGGGTCTCTGGTTTCGGCTCTGGCTTGGCGCACTCCTCCTTCGTGTCCCCTCCTTCCTTGTCCCCCGGTTCCCTGATGTCCGGGTCCTGCTCGTCCCTCCTCTCCTCCTGCGCAGGCTGAACCCCCACATCACCCACGTTGTCATTTTGTGTCAAGCAAAGAAATCACACGAACCAAGCATTGCACAGGTGCACTATGGGATTTCACCCCAGTCTGACTGAACTGTGTAACCCAGGGCAGCAGCGTGGGTGAGCAAGCTACTATTAATTTTTGATTATAATAATTAATTAGTATTAATTTTTGAAGCCCTTCAAGTCATTCTTAAGTCTTCATTTAATAAGGGATATTTTATAATAAAGTAATACGTAATAAAGTAATATATAACATAAAATACTATAAACTATAACAATTGTAATTACTATATTGTTGTTATAATTTATAGTAATAAAAATAAAATAAATAACATATAAAGTAATGAAATTATACTAATTTATAATAAATTATTATAATGATTGTAATTATTATATTATCAGAATAGAATAACTATACTATATGTAATAAAAGAAAAAAAGGAGGGGGTGAGAAATCAGAGCAGTTTACATCGTGGTCTTAATGACAGCGCCTTTTGGACCAGGAGGTTTTTCCCCTCCTAGGCCAGACACCCAGTGCACCCAGTGCACCCAGTGCATCCAGTGCCCAGGCCCAGTGCTCCCAGCGCCGCCCTGGGCACTGGGTTTTGTCCCAGAGCACTTGGAGCGCTCGGTGTGAGAAGGGGGGACGCGAAAAGGAGAGGTCAGTGCTGAGGTTTCAGGGCTGAGCTGAGCGAGCAGCTCTCACCACCAACAAGGGAGCGCACCCTCATACCCTGTCCCTTTGCCTCCTGAAGCACTTTGCGAGGCAGTTTAATTCACTAAAAGAGCAGAAGATGCTGTTTGGGGACAGGAGGAGGAAGGAAGCCGGGTTTTTCATTGCACTGCCATTTCAGGAGGTTAAACGAGTTCGCGAGGCTCTGACGAGCGCTGGAAGTGGCTGGATGCAGCTGGAGCAGAGGAAAAGCAAACCCCTGTCTTTTCAGCCCATCGCATCTCATGAAATCACATCCAGCACAAGTGCACCGAGGTATTGAAAAACTCAGCGATGTCCACAAGCTGCTGACTTCTGCTCCAGCAGAGCCGGGACGAGCGGGAGCAGGGAATCAGGCGATGCCCCTCGGTCAGCATTTATCAAACAGGCTGCACCTCGCGAATGCTTGCGCGGCAGAAATATCTGCCGAGTGTCACAGTTCAAAAAGCCACTGGTGTGGATCTAAAATAAGAACTGGGGAAAAAAAAACAAAAACCCCACCAAAACACAAATGCTTCGTCTGAAACAAACAGCCCGTGGGCAACGAAGGCTGTGGGTGCACACTCACGTGCACTCAGAAGCAGCAATTTAAATAGAGACAGGAATCGTGCATTTCTCTTCTTGAAGACACAAATTTCTGGGCTGAAAACGCATGAAAATTCCCAACTTCTCCCCACTCTGCTAATTCCACCCCTGAGAGGTCCAACACATGAGCAGAGATCATCCCATGGCTTTCAGAAGCTCGGAAATTCGGGAAAAGAAAGAAAAAGGTCTTACCTACTCCCTTCTCCACACCTCTGTAACTTTAAGGAGGTGGATTTACAATCACTGCCTACAGTTGGCAGGACTTGAAATTTGTGACAACTTTAAAAACTGTAAGTTTTGCACAGAACATGCCCCTGGCCGTACAGAGCAGGCATCAGGGGGGTGCGAGGAGCCCCATGCGCTGTGCAGAAATCCCGGTCTACGGGATGCATAAGCAGGAAATATTTGTGTTTGGCAGGGTCAGCACCAGCCCGGACTGAGCAGATGAAGTCCCGAAATGCCACATTGGTGCTCCTTGAAGCTGGAAACCCTTTCCCAAATTCCTCACACTACTGATCCACTGTTATTCTGCACACACCAAGGACACCCGGGCCGAGCACCCGCACTGTCGTGAATTGTGGGTTTGAACCCTAATTCTGCTGTGACTTCCCATGCCTCAGCAGAGCGAGGAGTCAGCGTGGGGCGTTTTAAGTCATAACGTGAAGTGTGGGGGCAATTTCAGGAGCAGGCACTTTGCAACACACAGGAACATCTGGAGTGGACATTTCAGCCCAGAAATTGTGTCTTCAAGAGGAGAAATGCAGGATTTCTTTCTCTGCACAATTTCAGCAGCAGGCACTTTGCAGGACACAGGAATGGGAAGCACGCGATGCAACGCAGGGAGCTGACAAGAGCCTTTTCAGCATCTCATGAGCTTTCCTGACCAAGCTTACCATCCTAGGATATGAAGTTTTTATAGTTTTGGCTAAAAAGATGCATTTTTGGGAACAGAAGGGAGCACATCACCCAGGGCAGGGTTTTACCTGTGTTTCCGCGCTGCTTAAGGAATGGAGATCCAGCGACGGATCAGTTTTGAGCTCAGGCTCAGGAGCTGCAATCGGGGCTTTCACCAGGATGTCTTCATCCGGGCTGGCTCCTAACCCCGCGTCTTTCTGGTCGCCTCCCGTCTCTTTAGCAGCATCAGTGTCCTTGTCCTCTTCGGACACCTGAGACTTGGGCCTCCTGAGAAAGGAGGAGAAGAGGCGGGAGAGACCCCGGCCCTCGGAGGTGCGGCGCTCCTTCCTGCTCTGCTCCTCGTGCGTGGGGGTGTCGCCGTTGGACGCCTTCTGCTTCTGCCCCTCCGACGGCTGCCGAGCCCCTTCCTCCAGGGAAGCCTCTTGCTGTTGTGTTTCAGCAGCTCCTTCCTCCTCCTTGGCTTGCTGCTGCTCCGAGCTGTCGGCGTCAGCCGCTAGACTCTTCTCTGTTGTCATGATGATGCTGTAAAAGAGGCGCAAAAGGTCTCAATCGAGAGTTTTCCAATATTGAAGCTATTCGACACAAGCCGCAAGCACAGGCACACCACATTCCCCAGTCACACCACCCCGTCCTGTCAACTGCAGCCTGCATTGACAAGTAATTCATTTTGCTAGGCTTTGCCTCGATAGAAAATCTCTATTGACGTTTGCCCACGCATCTTCCACCACTTGGGCAACGCTGACTCCAAATTGGTGCCCTGGCACCAGGTCTGCAGCCTGACAAGAGCAAATGGTTAAAGAAATGGAAAGGAGATGAGGGAAAGGGGAGGAGATGGCCGAGGGTGCTGCTCCACAGGGATGTCCTGAGGTCCTCTGGGTCCTGTTCTCCTCTGGCAGCACAGGTTGTGGGAGCAGAGCAGATGAGGACCACAGAGTAATTCAGGTTGGAAAAGACCTTTAAGATCATCAAGCCCAACCATACGAGGACATGCACACGACCAGGCAACCTTCCTCCTATGCCTTGCCAAACCCCAGACCCTGCGATGGCTGCGGCGTTACAGCATCCTCCTCCACCGCCGCAACTGGAAGCAGAGATCTGCTGCTCCAGAGCCAAAAACTGCATGGCCATAAAGAGTTTCAACAGCTGCTCCCTTCGGAATGTCCCTGAAAGAGGCCACAGATCCTCACCAAGGGCTAAAAAGGGGGATATTTGAACATGATGGACCACACTGGTGGCCTGCTCTGGATGGAGCTCACCAGCGTTGATCAGCTACGCTGATCTGCACAAGAGAGGAGCAGGGACACAGAGCAGCTTCAGGATCCATGGGATCTTTGCACCACACATTGGAAAAATACAAAATAAAACCAGTTCCAAACTACCCCCACAACAGAGAGCAATTTCTTCAGAGCCCGGGCTATGAAGCTGATGCAATGTTTACTTCAACTTTAGCCTGGGCTGTTGACACAAAAAGATGGAAATCACATGAGAAGAATATCTATTTAAGGGCTAAAGAGGACCCAAAATAATCATGCTTTAGAGGGGATAGAACTAATCTTTGCGCGTTGCATCACATGTATCTGCAGCAATAAATTGCCACTGCTGACACAGAGCAGACAGCATATAATCCAATCTGGCCTTCAATCCCCCAGCCCAAGCCTTGGCACACAAACATTAGCTCAAAACACATACTTAAAATGAAGAAACATTTCAAGATGTCACCCTTCTACATATTAATGCATTCAACAGTTTGAATGTAACTCAGCCTGGCTGCCAAAATAACCAGAGGGCTTGAAAGAGAAAAGCCCTCCCAGCTTTCCAAAGCACTCTTGCCCTGCATTTAGTGCCAAAACTTCATCTTATTCTGAAAAGCCGTGGTTAAAAGCAAGCAGAGACCAACACTGAATCTGGTCCCCCAGCAATGCAAATTTCCTGGGTTTACAAGGTTTGTTTTGGTTTTGATTTGAGTCTTCTGGGTTGGTTTTTTTTTTGCAGGGATGGTAACCCCCAGGGTCTGTGCTCCCATCCAGTGCTTTGGAGCTGCACTGGGTTTGGGACAGGCAAGCTTGGCACAGCCCAAGCAAGGCAGCGAGAGCACCCAAGGGTAATTCGCCAAAACGCTGTGGAGTTGGGCATCAAATCAGCTCCTTTTCTCAGAAGTCTTGTAGGAGTTTGGTTTTCAAGATCACCACAGAACAGGCTCTGTGAGAAAGCTGTAAAACCCAACGGCTCTGGTGGATCCACGCAGCGTTCAACCGGCTCCCAGCACCGCCTCGAGGGGAGGGCAGCTGCTGCTGCTCGCTCTGGGGGAAACAAAGCAAATCCACAACGCTGAATTTCATAGACTCACAGTGTGGTTTGGGTGGGAAGGGACCTCACAGCCCCCCCAGTCCAACCCCCATGGGCAGGGACACCTCCACCAGCCCAGGCTGCTCCAAGCCCCGTCCAACCTGGCCTTGGGCACTGCCAGGGAGGGGGCACCCACAGCTTCTCTGGGCAGCCTGGGCCAGGGCCTCACCACCTCACAGGGAGGAATTTCTTCCCAATATCCAGTCTAAATCTCCCCTCTTCCAGTTTAAAACCATTCCCCCTCATTCTATCGCTACCTGCCCTTGTAAAAAGTCCTTCCCCAGCTTTCCTACAGGCCCCTTCAGGTCCTGGAAGGCTACAATAAGGTCCCTCTGGACCTTCTCCCCCAAACCAGGAACGGATGCAGTTCGGTTCAGGAGAGGTTCTGAAGGGGCTGCGATGGGTTTGCAGATGGTAAAAACTCTCACTGCTGTTTCTGCTCCTCCACGATCCCTCTCCAGGGACGCTGCTGTTACCAGCACCAGGCTCCATGTGCAGCCACCTCAGCCACCTCACGCTCTCGACAGCTCCAAAAACTCCCAAAGATGCTCCAAGGCAGTGCAGGGGGCAAAACAAGCTACAACCAGCCAAAACCACATCACCCTGAGACCATGATGCAGGACACTCACCACGGCCAACTCTAGGGTGAAGCTCCTGAACCCCAACACGCAGAGCGGGATGGACGCGGTGCAAGACCGTCCCACCACGAACACCCGAAAATAGCGAGCTCCCTTCTGCACCAGCTGCCAGAGCAGCTTGCTTTGTAGTTACTTCCCACTGTGTTTGTTTGGAATAAATCCATTTGTAGCAATCGTTATCAACACACACAACACTGGAAGCGCTTTGCTCTTCAACATGAAAAGGCAGAACCAAGGCTCTGGCGATGACGACCGCAGGGAGGGCACAGCCCCCATCAGCCACAGTAAACAGGAGGGACAGTGCACAAACAAACACTTCCTCTGGACGTAGTATTCTCTCTTTAAACACCAACAATTTTGGAACAAGAAAGGTTTATTTGTTTCGATTTCAAAGCCGCAGTCCCGGTGTGAGGAGGTGGATCACGTTGGCGATGAGCAAACGTCTCCACATCTTCCCTCCTTCCCCCACGAACCACCTCACAGCTCGGCCCGATCCCCTTGGCAGGGCCTGGGATGCGGGGATGGGCACGTATGAGCCCTGCCCTTCCCTTCCCTTCCCTTCCCTTCCTTTCCTTTCCCTTCCCTTCCCTTCCCTTCCCTTCCCTTCCCTTCCCTTCCCTTCCCTTCCTTTCCTTTCCTTTCCCTTCCCTTCCTTTCCTTTCCTTTCCCTTCCCTTCCCTTCCCTTTCCCTTCCCTTCCCTTCCCTTCCCTTCCCAGTAAACATTTCACAGCGGCATCAGCACCACTAACAAACTGACCCAAGACCCAAGCACACACGCAGTCGCTGCATGGGCTCACGGCTGCTTCCCTCCCTTTGAAGTTTGATGTTCAGAAATGGTTCCCTAAGCTCTCGACCGAAAGCAAAGAGATTTGTAAGCAAGCAAAGTAACCAGGAGGCTGTATTATTTAAAAAAAATAAAGCACCTTTGCTACACAGAGATGTCTGCGAGGTCAGGTTTGGTTTCCACCCCAGCCCACAGCAAAGCCAACACGAAAAGTGACGTTCCTGCTCTACAACTCGTTATTTTGGAGAAAACAGTGCCCACAGCCAAACCACAAGCAGGGTTTTATTTAAGTCCCATTTTGGTCCATCCCCATCCCACAAGGCAGAGCCTGCAGGTGCCTCGGGAGCTCCTGGGATGCTGGAGGATGCTCAGTGCTGCTCGCTCTCTGCTCTGAGCTGCCACGCTGGTGAAGGCCGGGTCTGGGGTGGGTTTTTTGGTGGAGGATGAGGGTTTGGTGCCAGACAGCCCAAAGGCAGGCTCCTGACGAGTGCAGAGAACGCCTTTAACGCTATGGAAATAACCAAATCAGAGCAAAACTGCGATATGATCCCACACAGAGACTGCAGCGTAAAAATCTCACCAGAAATGAGTTCACGTACGTGTTTATACTGAAGTATTTTTAAGAACATCCCGCTCCAGACAAGACAACCTTGAGACCCCCGACCTCAGCACTCACCCCTGTTTCTGCCCAAGGACAACACCTCTGCAGGTCTGTCGTCACCTCAACACTCACCCTGCTTTTCAGCACCCAAATCCTTCAAACCAAACAGACCTGAGGCCTAAAAGGAGCGCAAGGCCCCACTGCTCACCCTGTCCTAACACCCATGGGTCAATCCAGCAGGA